TTCCCTCTTGCTGTGGAGCTTTAAAGGTCAAAATCTCACACACACTCGCTCATCTGCCTGTCTGTTCACACACACGTGTTATGTTCTGTGTGTCTGGACTGAGAAGGGAACAGAAATGCACTGTCTGTTCCTTATACTGCTCATTTTCTCCTCCTGGTAATGTGTTTGACAGGCTGCACAAGTATTATTTTCTCTGGTTTGCTGCTGACCTATTTTCTTCCTAAACTCGGTCAGACATGATGAATTTTTCATGAGCAGCATTCATGAAATCGTGTTGAATTACCATTTAATGACCTCAGTATGATCTGAAGATGCAGAATCACCTCAACACACCCTGAACTCGGTCTGACCTACCTAACTCACCCTGTTATTCCCGCTTTGACGATCAAAGCAAGTTCATCCACCCGAAGAAATGGAGGAAACAAGCCGCTCTACTGACACAATAACTCCTTTAAACGCAGGAAACTTCCCCGTGTTTTTATTAGCATTATTAAATGCAGAAGTATGTGTGCATGTTAACTTCACTGTCTGTAAATAATCTACAAACTTCCTCCTGCTGGTTCTAGCATGATCACACATATTTAATTGACACCCCTTTATGAAAACATGAACATCTTTTATACACAAGCGAGATTTCCTTCTGCACAGATCCACAGGGATCAGAGTAAACAATCCGGGCCTTCCTTCGTCACTATGATTTATGCAATACGAGCTCATTCTCTTTCTCTCCTTCTCTCTCTCTGTCCTAATCTTTCTTATTATAGCATAATTCATTTGACATAAACATTCAAATGTTCTTGCTTTTACAGAACAATATGGTGGCCCTGAAGTGTAAAAAAACTAAATGGCTAGTTTATTATAAGCTCTTTGCATATATTTAAAACTTTTTTTTAAATAACCATATTTTCAAAATGCATAGAATGAGCATACATGTTATAATTGTGAAAACAATTAAATGTATTAGTTTAAAAAGTTTGAATATGGCTAGCTGTGGAACAAACAATATTCAAATAGTTCAAAGACTGAACAAATTGGATTGATTGATTGAAAAATTCATATACCTGGTTATTGTGTATTTAAAAAAAAACTTTTTTTAATGTTTATGTTTACTATTACATAAATCATACCTGTTTCTTTTAAATATGACTGACAAATATGCATTATTATGCATTTATAAGCTTGTCTATATCAAAATTGTGCAAGTTGATGTTTTATATACAATTCAAATACATAAATCTTAAATTGAGGCCTAAATATTTGTGTAGAAAACAGGAAGTTGGGCATTTGCACTAGTTCAATACTGCATTGTATCCTGTATGTTGCCAGCTATTTTTGTGCAACAATAAACAGTAGTATTTTGTCATATTCAGTTATAATCTTAGGAATAACTATTATTATTTTGCATTTTTATTACTTTTAAGAAACTTTTGAGAAATCAAAAGTCCAGATTTCAGAAAAAGTCTAGAAAAAGATGTAAAAAGAAATCAACCCTGGTAGTAATTCTGATTCAATCATCACACTGTAAATACAAGGTTAGGTCAAGTGCAGTGTTTTATACACACACACATTACGGCAAACGTAGTTAGTCATCCAGGCATTCCATGAATACATGTGCATATTATATACATAATGCACACTGAACAAATATTATGAGTAAAATGAGTGGGTTGATAGTGTGATACTGATAGACAAATGTAGTATGTCATGTTTATTTTATGCATGCATAAAGTGCATAGTATACTGCAGAAACAGTATAAGTAGTATTGTAGTATGCTATTTGTGAGCAGAAAAGAAATGAGAAAACAAATTTTTGAATATTTTAATGTCCAACTGAGTGGTTATTTGCATATGAGACATTGCAGCAGCAGTAGAAAATCCAATGCAGTCTCAGTCTGGATAACACCTTCATACTGTCAGTTCAGATGGCCTTGATTTGTCCATGATAGTGTGTGTGTGTGTGTGTTTTAAAACCTCTGCTCATCTCTAATCAACACTCAGACACACACGCTGTGAAGGGACGTGAGGTGTGAGGTCAGCTGACACGTGTTGGAGTCGCCTGTCATTGATGTCTGATGTTTGCTGCTCACGTGTCACAGGACAGATGCCAGAGAGGAACGAGAGGTGAGAGACGCGCCAGAACACACTGAACACTGTTACAAGACACACCCGTCCATCTATATATATATTCCAACGGACAGACCGACCGAATCAAGGTCATCTATCTATCTATCTATCTATCTATCTATCTATCTATCTATCTATCTATCTATCTATCTATCTATCTATCTATCTATCTATCTATCTATCTATCTATCTATCTATCTATCTATCTATCTATCTGTCTGTCTGTCTGTCTGTCTATCTATCTATCTGTCTGTCTGTCTGTCTGTCTGCTCAGCTGTAGCTGGAGGTGTGATCGTATACTGTGTTCTGATTGGCTGTAACGTGGGCGTTGGCATCTGACAGAGAGACAGCTGGCACTGCCAGTCTTAGCTGTGTGTCTCACCCACTGACACAGACAGATCATGGTGGTCTTTTAAAGTGATGCCAGGAGAGTTACACAAGACCACCTTCATTTGATTACCAGCGCAGAGAAATGCACACACACACACACACACACACACACTGACTTCAGCTTTACACAGATCAAACACAGTGGTATAATGCATTATAAGATTAAATCAAGCCATTAAATCATATTAGCTAACATCAATAACAGTGTGTGTGCTGTGTATTATTTACTCCATCTGAATGATTATGTTTCTTTTGATGGTATCGTTCACAATAAGAACGTTTATGAGTAGATGCTGACGTACAGATGTGTTACTTACGATCTGTGTATACTTCAGCTTAAATCAATCAGGTTTTCCCAGGAGCTTTTCAAAGATTAGCTAACGTTGTCTTTTTCTTGGCGGCACTTCACTGACTCATGACTAATGTCAGATCATTTTGTTTTAATGCGTATAAAAATAGACTTAGAATATGAGCGAGTGACTGGGGCTTCTGTCTTTCTGAAGGATTCTCACAGCTTTCTCATGAGAGTCAATCTCTTCATCACTTCATTTGAAAATAAATTAGTTTATCTTATGAGAATTCTCTCTCTCTCTCTCTCTCTCTCTCTCTCTCTCTCTCTCTCTCTCTCTCTCTCTCTCTATATATATATATATATATATATATATATAAATATATACTGTATATAAATGAAAAATCTTAGAGACTCTAAACATTTGAATATACACTATATCTATGAGAAACACACTGCACTTCTGTTCGGTTTTGACAGAGCCAGAATCTGAGCAGAACTCGCACTAAAGTCCTCTTGGATATAAAAAGCTCTTTTATGACAGTTTGAGAGCAACATTTGTGTTGATTTATCACTGTCACAAGGTGATAATATGGAGAATTTCATGGCTGAAAGCAGCAGGGATCTCAACTCCATCCTCTCGCACACTCACATGACACTAATGACAGATGCTTGTTCATATTAAACTCTAGATTTTGATTGTAATAACTGTGCTAAGATGTTCTGAGGAGAAGAGGCTTTTCATGCATTTAGACACATTAGAAGGACGTCGTGTTCAGTCGTCTCTCCTTAGCTGTTTCTATCTATAGGAAATACCAAGGCCTGTTTGCAAACAAACTACCGCCGCCTGTACGCCGCACTGAAGGTCATTCATTATTCAGAAGCTGACAGCGCCGGCTGGGTTTGGGCTGGAAGGCGGTCATGTGATTATGAGAAGTTAAACTGGGGCAAACATGTTTTTCTTAAACTCGTCCACCAAATTTGAGTCACACTTTTTTTGATCATAGCACACTAATACAGTACATTAATAATGTTAATCTGCAAAGATTACACTATTAGTTCATGACGATAGTTTCGCACTGCTAAATAATGTTTTTTTTTGTTCTGTTTTATATATATTGGATGTCTATTTAAGCATAAATCAAGATTATTGCAGGGCAATATAACAAAGACAATTAACCCTTGATATTAACCCTAAATATGTTGCACTCTTTTGACAGTATTATGTTTTTATTTATATATACGATTTGCATCCATGTATGTATGTATCTATCATCTATCATCTGTTTATCTGTCTCTCTGTCTGTCTGTCTGTCTATCTATCTATCTATCTATCTATCTATCTATCTATCTATCTATCTATCTATCTATCTATCTATCTATCTATCTATCTATCTATCTATCTATCTATCTATCTATCTATCTATCTATCATCTGTCTCTCTGTCTCTTAATATTATATCACAAGAATTATTAATATTTTTAATATACTGGTGAAACTCGAAATATTAGAATATGGCGCAAAAGTTCATTTATTTCAGTAATTCAACTTAAAAGGTGAAACTAACATATTATATAGACTCATTACATGCAAAGTGAGATATTTCAAGCCTTTATTTGTTATCATTTTGATGATTATGGCTTATAGCTTATGAAAACCCCAAATTCAAAATTAGAATATTGTGAAAAGGTTTTCATATCTGTAATCCATAATCATCAAAATTATAACAAATAAAGGCTTGAAATATCTCACTTTGCATGTAATGAGTCTATATAATATATTAGTTTCACCTTTTAAGTTGAATTGCTGAAATAAATGAGCTTTTGCATGATATTCTAATTTTTCGAGTTTCACTATTGTCCAGCTCTAGATATGCTATGGTAATTTCAACATAGTTTACTTTGCACATAGATCCACAGTTACCCGTGTTTAACATACTGGTACAGATATACGAGGTTAACCGGAGTCATGCCCGCTGAACTGGGTCGCAGCTGTTTCCAGCTGTTCGACGGGCCTCTATGGCAACAGCCAAACCTTCATTACATAACTCTGTGCTTCAGCCTGCTTTCCTTTTCACAGTAGTGAACGACTATATTTCATAACGTTTAAATGTGTTTTTCCTAATCATTTATTCCCTAGGTGAGATTCCAGCAAACAAACACAGTGAGAAAACAAACAGTGAGGTATTGGCTCTCACCTGTCGGGCCGCTCTCCGGGCCTCCCAGTACGGTTTCGAGTCTTCCACGGCTTTCCCGATCTTCTTGACCTGCTCGTCCAGTTTGACTGTGGCCTCCAACAGGACGGCGCGAAACTTCTGCCGGGAATCCTGCAGAGCAGAGGTCAATAACAGACAGTAAATCTAAAATCACACATGCTCAAGTGTCTCAAACAAAACTCAATATTTGCTTGCCGCTTTCAATCTCAATATTCAATGGCACAAACTCACAAATCTGTCGAATTCAGTGGGAAGTTCCTCAATGAAAGCACTGGGAACTTGATACAACTTTGTTTCTTAAAAGTGCACTCACTCTCCTAAATATTGCATAAAGCTAGCAAATCAGATTAGAAAATTGGTAAAACTTTACAATATAGTTCATTAGTTAACATTAGTTAATGTATTAACTTACATGAACTAACAATGAGCAATACATTTGTAATAGTATTTATTAATCTTTGTTAATGTTAGTTAACAGCTATTCATTGTTTGTTCATGTCAGTGCAACTAATGTTAACAAATACAACTTTTGATTTGAATAATGTATTAGTAAATTTTGAAATTAATATTAACTAAAATTAAGTAATGCTGTAGAAGTATTGCTCATTGTTAGTTCATGTTAACTATGGTAGTTAACTAATGTTAACTAATGAACCTTATTGTAAAGTGTTAACAAAAAATGTTGTGCAATATGCATCAGTGAACCGTCTAAGGTTTGAGTCCCTGACCTCTTCAGCTGTATGAACTACTGAATACTTGTCTTTGTGTTTACAAGTACTCAAGTGTGAATTACAGTACATGCAGTCAATGAAACATGAATAAATCTCAGGCTCATCATATCCAGGCAACATGCACTGTAAACTCAGGAATCTCTCTGAATTATGAGAGCAATGAAACGCTTCAATAACCAGCCTTTTGTTGCTCCTGAAAAGCGCTGCTTCAGCTAACTCGATTCAGCATTTAACCCAGTTAAGGAGGAATCTACACCCTTCTTTCTACAGAAAACTCTCCCTCAGCAGAAAGAAACAATCCCATCGGTTTGTTGCATAAGATGAGCAGCGGGGCCTGTGAGTTTGAGTCGTGCGTGTGTCCGTGTATCGTGTCCACTTCTGCCGGCCATGAATCTGTTATGGACTGGGTTTGGACATATTTAAAAACACTGACATCTACATCCTTCCACACAGGACCTCAGTGACAAAAGACACGTCAGAGGGATTTAGACTTCCTCTCACAGAAAGTTCCTTCTGCTGATTAATCACAGGCCAAATACAGTTAAATACAGAGAACCGAGTGATCATTTGTCATTCGAAATGAGGATGAGGAAAGAGGACTTATGGAAAACACTTTACAATAAGGTTTCATATATTGTATGTTTATATATAAAAAATATTTAATATAAATATTAGATGAAAAACAAACTAAACTAAAGTTTTACAATGTTGCTTTAAAAATACTAAAATAACACTGATTAACCCTGTTTTACAAAAAAATATCTGATAATCACAAATTTTACAATAATTCTTACATAGATTATGACTGCATTTTGCTCATTATTTCTTACACTAAGGGTGTATTCACAGCTGCCTTGTTTGGTTCGATTGAATCGAACTCTAGTTCGTTTCCCCCCTTGGTGCGGACCTTTTGGGCAGGTGTGAATACAGCAATCGAACTCGGGTGCGGACCAAACAACCGAACCGAGACCCAGCTGAAGAGGTGCTCTCGGTACGCTTCCAAACGAACTCTGGTACGGGTCGTTTACGGTGTGAACATGAACCGACCCAATTGCAAGAAAGCACTGCGCCTTTGAGTTAACAGGCTTCCGTAGTCGGAGTTGCGTTATGGGAAAGTGATCTGTTGTAGCCTACTACATTACATCAGTTGCGCGTCTTTCTGCGCGTCGTGTGTGTGCGTCATTGGTATGGAATGAATGAATGAGTGTGTGCATCAGGACATTCACATACAGAGCGTTCTCTTTAGTCTAATCGCGCATGGATGCAAAAAAAAAAGGAAAAAAAAAGCATTTGCAGTTCATATAATGTAACGATAGTTACAATACAAGGATGATGCTGCGTTAATTTACGTTAAGCCTTTTTTGCACTTCCTGATTTCCCTACTTGAGAATCCTTGTCCAATGAATGGACGACCTTAGCACACGTGTGGTTTTGTTTACAAATTTTGGTTCACTTACAAAAAGAGCAGTGTGAAAGCGAACCGTACCAAAAAAGAAAATAATAATTTTATTTGGTCCGGACCAAAGCAAGTGAACTAGTACCATGGTATTATTTAAAATACTTTGGACTACCATGTTATTGTCACTCGGCACCTTACCTTTACCGTGGTAGCCTACCAGCACATTATTTTTTTAGTAAGGGTGTATAAAAAAAGGAAATCATATATCAGCTGAAACAAAACATGGAAATGGATATTTCTCGTACCAATTTAGCAACTGGCAATTTACTACTATGTGTATCTCCTTTTGAGTTCCACAGGAAAAAAGTTAGTCACTGGGGTTTGGAACGAAACGAGGAAGTATACGTTCCTAAACTACTCATCTAGCTGTTGTGGCCCGTGGCTTTCAGAGCAGGAATTCCAGACTCGGATAGAAGAGATTTCCTCTGTCTGCTCAGCAGATTAAAAGGGTGTCAGTCGCATGAAGGAAACGTCCTATTGGTCCGGGCCGGAAGGGGGAGGGTGCTGAGCTTTTAGACATGTCTTTGGAATTCAGCCTGCAACCATTTTCAGCAAAAACAGTGACAGCAGAAAGCAGGCATGCAAACCTTACCTCCAGTTCGGTCTCCCATCTGTTGATGTTATCGGTAGACTGATTCAGTTTCTCCAGTTCGCCCTGTTGAAGAGATAAACCCAGTTGAGATCGCAGTAAGGTGTCTGTTGCAATGCCAGCAACATCTGGAAAGTGTTCTTCAAGTAACCCAACACTGAAATGAAGCTCATATGTATGCTTTTCCTCCCATGTTAGCTACACGTTGATGACACACAGATGTTTCACACTGCTGTTTTCATTACGGGATTATTTTCTTTCATGGGTGGAGGATGAAAAACCAGTTCATCTAGCACAACTCGTCTTACATAAAAGTTTTTTCATGGTTCTTTGTAGCAATTTCTTATCAAGGGAAATTATTCATTTTAAAGTGCATTTAAAAGTGTAATTTACTGTAAAGAATCCCAGCAAGCAATTTTGTGTTTAAAAGACGTCTAATAGCCGTCCAACACAGCCCAGACGTCTAGGCTAAAACAAGGCAAAATTTGGGCTGTCAGTGAAAATTTAATAGACGTCTAAACCATAGCCCAAGAAAACACTAGTTATGAATTAGATAAAGAAATTAAATGAGTGAAGAAATGAAACCAAACACCTTGTAATCACTGTTTACTTTGCTTACATGATGGAATATCATACATCTCGCAGGTTATTTTGGCTAGAAGTGGGTTACTCATAGCCGGACTACATCGGGTCTATAGTTAACCTAGACGGTGAAATGACGACTATTGGTTGCTGGGAAAGTACTAACGTTTCAAATGATAAAACCATTGATAATGTGTTAAAAAAAAAAAATAGACAATGTATCTGGACACAAAAAACATGATTTATAGAAATATTTTTGTAATGTTTTGGTGATTCAAGTTTAGTGCAAATGTTTTGTTGTTTTTGACAGTGCTAGGTCAAACAATATAGCAGTGCGTCCAATTACTTTTATGGGTCATTGTATATCGTTTTCTAAAGAATAAAAAACAGAATTCTAAAAGGAATCTAACACTTCATAAGCAAGTCTTAATTCTGCATGCAGTGCACGTGAACTCAACCGTTTCCTTTCAAAATGAAACCGAATTCTAAATATGACGTCAAAGTAAACATGTATCTGGTTGTCAACGCGGTTCCTCAATGTAACAAACAAAGAAACAATGTAACAGAATATAAGAGATGATGTCACAATGGGGTTCCCCTGATCGAATCAAACACCAGCTGTTGAACAATCTGAACCAACGGAACATTTTCTGATCGGATTATCGGTACATATAATAGACTTCTGAATCTGATGAATACATGTATGATCTGATCGAGCTTTAATCCAAAAAAGAGTTTGACCCAGTCTAACTTCAGTTCTGGCTTCGGGAAGGTTAAACAGGAATGACCTCTGAAAATCGACATATAGAACAATATAGTAACATATCAATACAGCCAAACAGCATAGCCTATAAGTATTCAGTCGAGTTTCGTTAATCCGCTTTAAATGGATTTTGTCGATGTGAATTCTCAGATGTATCAGTCGAAATGATTTTTTGTTGCTCTGTACCTGAACCCTCGGGTCAACCTCCTCTTCCTCCAGAGACTCCGAGTCTTCATCAGATTTATTCTCTTTCTCTATGTCGTTCATTTTAATAGTAGACGCGATTCGTTTATTATTAGCCGAACAAAGCGGGTCTCTGTCCGGGATAACGGGCTCCGATGATCCGCGCAGAGCCGCGCTTCTGCGGTCACTCCATTAGTTCATCCAGACAAACGCGATTAAAAGAAACACGCACGATCCCTCATATCCAACAGATATGAATCTACAGAGACACAAACACACAAAACACCGGCCGACAGGAGAATGAGGAGCCGCTCGAGCTCGGAGATCTGATGAGATCTCGCCCGCCCCCTCCGGTGCCCTGAATGAGGGTCACTGCAGTTCACACACACACACACACACACACACACACACACACACACACACACACACACACACACACACACACACACACACACACACACACACACACACAGCGGAGAGAGAGATTGATATAGATTAGATATAGCTTAGATCTTTTTGAGTAAAGGAAAGAACAGGTTATTGAAAGTATACGTTACATTTTATATGTACATTAGCATTGAATTATCTCTCTAAAAATAGATGATTTTATTGTTAACATGTCAAATTAAACTACAAAAATATCTTTATGAATTCATAGTTGAAGACATGTTCATAAAAATATATTAAAATTACCATTTAATTACTATAAGGAATGCCAAGAAACAGTTTTTAGCACTTAAAGTATTTTAATCTTTGTCCAAATAATAGAAGTTTAATCTTATTTTACTTTTTTTTTTTGTCATATCAAAAAAACAACGGTGCCGTGTAATAAAATGACCCAGTCAGTCAGAGATATTAAAAATAAATATTTTTGAAGGCAATACCAAGTTCTGGCATGAAACTCTAGATGGCGCAGGCTGATTGGTCTTTAACTCATTTGGTAGAGATCACTTCATTATCTATTGCACAGCTGATTGGTTGTTGCTGCATCAGCAGCCAATGAGCTGCGGCTCAACATTTAAATATGGCAGTGTTGCTGTTAGCCATATGCAGCATGCTTTCAGAAACCCTTCCCCAGCTCCACCAGTATCTGCCACGGGTTTTTACATGTATGTGACTGTACATGTGCAGCAGCAGCAGCTGGTCTTACATGCTCACAGAAGCATGACTGCCAATGTATTGGCAGTAGCAAGTCTCAGTATTGCTCTTTAGCAGCAGCGTAGCAGAACTATTCCGCCAAAAGACCAGAGTCAACCAACCTGAATTCACCTAACTCACACTGTAGGCCTGTGTATAGGCTATAAACAAATAGGGATAGTTGAATCTCTGTGGGATCTCATTCAGGCAATGCCATTGTTTTTGTGCCCTTTTAATATTTGCAAAATGGTAAACAAACTTCCTATTCCCGGTAATTCCAGGCCAGTTTGCTGTAACTTGTTGTCAAAAACAAAAATACTGTGTCAAACATAAACTCACACACACAGTAAGGATACTTGATGCTCAGATTAAGTCTTTAAAATGCAGAAAGTTTCATTTGATGAGTAGGTTTATTGGTAGGGTTAGTGTAAGGGGAGAGAATATACAGTTAGTACAGTATAAAAATCATTCTATGGAAAGTCTCAACCAATGTGTGTGTGTGTGTGTGTGTGTCTGTGTGTGTGTGCGTGTGTGCTTTCATTTACATTTAATCATTTAGCAGACACTTTTACCCAAAGCGACTCACAAATGAGGAGAGCAAAAGAAGCAGTGAAACTAACAACAGGACAACAATATGTGTTTGTGCCGTGACCATTCCCAGTTTAATCTAACACAGTACACTTACATGATAATAAATATTTGTCTGACTTTTCCATATGTTGACATGGCTAGATTCAAATGGTAAATATCATATATTAAGTTGGGTGTTCTCCTTAGAGATAATCACCATATTAATAATCAAACCATCATATTAAAAAAGATATTAATCATATATCATATAATAAAATATGATTTATTGTTACAGTAAATCTAAATTAAATTATTATGGGATCTCATTCAATGCTTTAAGAATCTTTCCTTTTTTAAATGATTTTTGTTTATGTATTTTTAAAATAGATTTCTAATATATTAACATATTTTAATGATAGTATATTTATTGAACAAAAATAAAAAATTGCATTTATCAAAATAAACAGAAAACAGTGCAAACTTTGCTAAAGTGATTGTTTTGAACAAGTATTAACTCAGATATTATTAAAAACAAAGTATTTTAGCTAAAGTATTAGTATAAATACTGTATGTCTTTTGTCCCATGCATGGTTTTACACCGTGTGTCTGTGGGGTAAAAGGCCCACATAGCAACCTCAGACATTTAGAAGATTTTTAAATAAAATAAACACACATTTTCCACACAAAATCTGTTGCTCCATAAATGTTTAAAACAAACTTTTTTTTTCTGCACTAGTGAAAAGCACATTTTTTTCTTAAGGTGTGCCTTTAGACCTCAATGCTGTAGACTCGTAGCAATCTGACCCCTGTTCTCCCACTGCTACGAACACTGGACTAATGGCGCCCTCTAGTGGAACACATACACACACACACACACACACACACACACACTAAGTTACCTCTCTTTCAGAAACGGCCTTCACTTACTCTGCTTTCTCGAGTTTGACATACATACCTCCCATTCTGAAACGGAAACCCCAGACATGGCATCTGACGACTATTTCTCATATTTCTCAGTTATTTCGCTTTATTTCCAGATTCGATCATAGGCTCGTTCTTACCACATAGTATAGCACGTTCGCACATGCGCAGTCTTCAAACACGGTGCTTTAAATCTCTTGACAAACTTAAAGATGTAAAACACATTTGTATGTATTCTAAATAAAATACACAGGTTGCACTGAATGTCAGCTTGCTTATTTTGCTCAAGATGCGGATTTTATTAAGTCCACATGTTATGCAATCTATAAACTCTGCTTCTAACCGCAGCTCGAGATCTGTCGCTCAAACACACAACTCTGCGATGCTGTTTGCGAATGTTCGTTGGAACGATGGTTTCGGGAAACACGACTCGTTGAACTGCTGATGACGGCGACCACAGTTGGCTAACGATGCTTTCGGGAAACGCATCCCAGGTTTGGTTCACGGTCACGGAGTTACCATGGTAACTGACTCTAATACCTCTCTTTCAGAAACGGGCTTGACTTACTCTTTCTCGGGTTTGACATACCTCCCATTCTGAAACGGAAAACCCAGAGATTCCCTCATTTCAGGGTTAACATACTCGGAGTTTTCACTTAACCTCCTTTCTGAAACAGGCTCCGGGTGACCTTACGTCCCTCGTAATCCGCGATTCTATTGGTTGGCATGAGCGCCATTTTTGTCATTTGTCGGAATTTTCTTCAAACCCTGATTTTACGAGTTTGGGGTCCACATGCAGTGGCGCCTCCAGAAATTTTTCATAGGGGTGGCCAGATGGGGCCACTTAAAATCTTGGGGTGGCACACCAAAACTATAAACCATAATTTCAGAATTTTATTCTACTGTTGTAGTAAACCGGCCTGTAGAAAACTATCAGAAAGACTTAAGGAAACTCCTACTGATATACTTTGGTTTATTGTGTTATATTTAATGTTAGCTTACTAATGATATTAGTAGGGCCCTACTAATATATATTATATATAATGATATATATATATTTATATATATATATATATATATATTATGTAAGTATCTGGAAATTTGCCGTGGGGCGAGGGCCCTTATTGTGATGAATTTAATCCTTTTTAAGTTATTATTTTGCAGTGTAAGATTACAGTTAACACCTTTAAATATTACATAAATGTACTATGAATTTTTAATAAACTTAATGAGTGTATAAATCAGCAGCAAAAAGTAATTCTTGAAAAAATCTGCACAGTAATTTTATAAAATCTAAATATGTTAATAAAAACAAATTACTATTAGTTCTCTTATAAAATTCAATCAGGCAATCATACATTTCACAATTTTATAATTATATATTAATGTCAAGAATTCAGAAGTGCATATATAACCTACACAAAAAATATACAATTAAATTATGCTTATTTCAAATGTATTGAGCAGGCTAGGTATAACAAAATATATTGGCTTTTAATAATATTTCAGTGCTCAAACCCATGATAACATGAAAAACAGAGTGCACACAGCGTGTATGCGCATCGCGGGTGCAGAATGATGTGCTCAAAGCAACATGGTGACTCTGTGTGTGCTGCGCTGCATAAGTGCGCATTTATAAGTTCACGTCACAAAGCGAAGAAATGTCGAGCGCACAAATCCTAGTGCGATTTGTTCCTTTGTTTCAGTTTTATATTCCAGTTATTGTGCGTTTGATGTCGATTCATAGTCCCTGTGATGTGTGTGTGATGATCTAGCAAGCACACGGTAGTGAGTCGTTTAAAAACAACAACAAACTCCAACAAAATAAAGTAATTTTATGCAAATCTACAGCCTTTGTTTTATCTACAGATCATGCATTATAATGTGAATATATCATATTGGAGAGAGTTTTACCGTGCATCCAAGAGGCGCGCGCGCTGTTTGAGTATGAATGGACAAGTGATTGACAGCCGCAGAGAAGGGAAAAGGAGTTTCCATATACTTTAATGATGTAAATAGACTTCTGTCCCTCACATTAAGCTATGGATTGACTTCAGATGACTTTGTCACCCAAACTGACGTAAAAAAAAGCGGGAGGCGCGCTGTTTGTATCCCTGCTTGTCAAAACGTGGCAAAGACACATCAAAAAGCTGCTGTCACAGAATACTGTAACCATTTGGCACTTAAAAAGCACGTCACGACACATAATGCCCCGTCTTCTTTTACTAAAGAATATTTTTGACTTATTTATGAAATGCATAACTGATGCTACTAAATTTTATTATGGCCACCCCCTGGTGGCGCCATTGTCCACATGTCAGTGAGAAACATGGCGGAATACCAGTTTTTCACGAGTTCACACTTACAATATTGAGAAAAATATTGGTAAAACTGATTATAGGTCAATCCAAATAGTGTTTTGTAGTCATTTATATATTAAAAAATCCTAAAATTAGGCCTATATGTTTTGTTGAGGAGACTTACACTTTTCTCCAAGACGATAAAACAGGTGAAAAACCCCACAGATTCATGTTGAGAAATCGACCTGATACCAGAAGATCAGACATGATGCACCTGAGGGTGCAGGACTTTTTATACCAGAGAGGAAGAAACCAATACCCAGAACACCCTATAGCAACCACTTACAAAACCTAATTAATTGCATAATTCAGAAAAAAAAAGAACTTTTAAAAGAAATTGTAAATAAAATAAAGGTAGTAAAATTAATCAAAAGCAAAAACAT